CAGTGCTGGAATGGAGTGGTGGTTGCTCTTTGTTTATGTAAAGGGGTTTGCCCTGCCTGTGTTGGTGTTTTTTTTTTCCTCTGATACTACTGGGGTGGGGGGACCACCAACACAGGCAGGGCAAGCCACCGTACATAAACAGAGAGCAAACCCCACTCCATTCTAGCTCTGAAGATGTTACCTAGCTGAGCAACGAAACGTTTCCAAGAAAAAAACCAAGCTCAGAGAACCCCAAGGACTCCTCAATTTGCTACGTCCTTTGCCTTACCAAAGACATTTACTGCTCATGAGATAATATGCCATCAGCCTTTCCTTGTATGGAAAAATGGCTGCAGGAAGGTTTACTTTCAGCCTTGAATTCAACTTGCTGCCTGTTTTTGCTCCTCTAAGTGAGCCAGGAAGGTGACGAAGCTTTTCCCTTTTGAATCTGAACCCCCGCATAGCCCTACTGGACATCCCTCTAGCATCAGGGCAGCCCAAACCAGCCGTACCAAAGAGCAGATTGTAAAACCCTGAACAGGCATCAGGGACAAAATCATGCAAGAAAGGGCCCTGCTTCCAAGCACACCATCAGCTTCCAAGAATCATTGGGCAATTCTGGGAAACAGCCATTTACACAACACTTCAGTTTTATGAGATTATGGAATGAATCCCCTGAAAAGTTCTGATTTAGAAAGAGGTCTAGAACAAAGCCAGACCAGAAATATGATTTACAGATAGCCCAAACAGATCATTTTACATTACATCAAAGACTTTGGTCTGGCATTTAAATGACAGTAAAAAAGATCATTTTTCTTGATTTAGGATTTTCCGATAGCTAAAAGACATGCACGTTAGTGCATACATATTTTTTTCTTCTTCACAAACTCTTCCTTTATCTTCAGTAAGACACTTTTGAATAAGACTGGTTATCTGAGTCCATTTTAATCATGTCCAGCCTTGATTAGTGTGGGTTTGGTCTTACTGTATTTATTTATTTTGCTTAAAGACCAGAATAAATACAAAAAAGTCAAAATACAGGAATAAACATACAAGGATAAAAACATACAAATTGCAAGCTCATACTATCCTAAGCTTTTCATAAGCTAACAATAAAAGAAAAGCCTGTCTCAAAATTAAAATGTCCAGAATTTAAATCTTAAGACTAGTGTTGTCTTTCCTCTCTGGCTTTCTACACTTCCACACAAAACTTAGCAACGTTTATACACATCTCAGAAGGGAACAACTGAGCCCATTGGAGTTAGGGGGCTAATAAATTCAAACAAACAAACAAAATTTCCAAATCTCAAAAATAAGATGGGAACCACTTCTTACTGAAATGCACCGTTGTAGACTACAATATGTATATATAATTTACTTCTGATTCAACCACAGTTTTTATGCTGTATAACTTTCCAAAGAAATTTGTTTTATGAGGAATCCAGCAGAAAGTGACATAAATCCACAGGGGAAGGGATAACAGAACTGCATTTATGATCTTATTTGCTTCTCCATCCTAGAGAAGATAAAGTTTCTGGCAGAGAGATGACTTAAGCGAAGTCTGCCCCACCACCCTCATGCTCCTCGACTTCCCACTTACCAAAGAATCTGTTACGTAACTGCACAGAAAAATATCAACCGCCGTATCAATCGCGTTTGCAATTGGTTTACAGGTTGCTACTTCGGTAGTAATCTGTAAGAGATGAGACACGGACTTGACGTTCTAATCTTTGAAACGCAAAACTCTCCATGAACATGCTTCTCCACACCCCTCTTAGGACAGAAACATGCATGCAATTTTGATTCTAGGCATCCTCTGTTATACTTGATCTAAATTTCCATAACTGATGAGAAAACAAGCAAATAAACCAAAACATCTTACCGAATCCTTCACCCATTCTGAATACTGCTCAAAGTAAAGTAATATAGAATCCATGTATTTCTTAGCTTCCTTGAAAGAAAGAAAGAAAGAAACCATTGTTAAGAGGCATGTAAGATTTCCAAGCAATGTTCAGTGTAAGGATTTCTTTTAAGGGCTACTATGACAAAGAAATCTACCTGGACAATTATAAATGAAGCGTTGTTGTTTATAAGAAGTTGAGTGGCATCAATGGCACTTATTACATTTCTCACTTTTTCCTGGAAAGGCAGAAGGAAAGGGAGAGACCGTGAGTCAAGCCAACCTTCAGCTGTGATGACTGAAGGTCTAGAAACAATGCCTACCCAGCAGAGCCATGAAAATAAGTGACCAGTACTGAAAAGTATTGGTTTTGGTAAATGGTTATGAATTTTTAAAAATCTAGATCTCCATGGTTATTTGAGGAAAAAGGGTTAAATTCCATAGCAGGATGTTTTAAAAGCATTCTAGGCCACTTCTTTTTTACTTAATTTCCTATTAAATGGAGATAATGTAAGTTAGAAGTTTCTGCTCAAATACTAAATTAAAACTTTCAAAAGTTCATTAAAACAATAGCTAGTTTTTAACAAAGGTAATCAAACATACACTTGGACTATTACAAGCAAAACACTGAGAAATAAATGTTCATTTATTCGGGGAAAAAAGAAAGAAAAACTTACTGAAAGCTCTGATGAAGTTTTCTGCAGTAACCGAATACTCTGGTTTAAAGTACTCTGGTTTAAAATAAACAAAAGGAAAATTTTACCTCTAGCATCTTATACTGTGTTCAACAAATAGCTTGAGCCATACACTTTTTATGCCATTGCTTTTAACACTGACTGTACAATAAAGGTGGGGGTTTTTTGGCTAGAAATGTGACAATAAAAAACAGTAGCAATAGTACCACAACTAGTTTGGTTTAGTAATATTCAAAATTTAGTTAGTGCATAAATTTACTATGCCTATTTGGTAGATGGTCCTACAATTGCATCTGCCTGCAACAGGAATAGATGTTCATGGTAAGTGGATGAACACAGACTATTTGCTAGCATTACTTTAAAGTCTCTGTATAAAGTATCATCAAAGTCATTGGGACCACACTAACTTAAATCCAAGTATTTCTATTAATGGGCAGAACTACATGTTATACAAACAATGAGATTGTATTGTGGGTTGCAAGTTTTCCCAACTTCCTGTTCTGTAGCATGGCTACAAATGATAGAGGAACAACTGAAAATCCTTCTATCCCATAATATTGTGGTTTGGGAAGTGGATCTAATTAACTACCAGCTCAGCTTGTGCTACAGAAGACAGTTTAATGGCATTTCCCTTGGAGATGCACGGTGGTTGTTTCCAGCCCCCATCTCCCATCTTGGTCTGCTTCCTGGGATTCTCCTCTTAGGGTGCCGTGCAAATATTCATCCATTTCCCTCAGTTATTCCAAGGGCAGAGAGTAAGAGATTCTTTTCCTGCTTATTTTTTTTTTCAACAGCAGTGGAGAGGGAAGAACCAGGACTGAGATGGGATGCTGTGCATATGCTTAAATTGTACAATTCAAGAAGAAAAGCACAAGAACTTAACATGGGCTGAAGCTTATGGAAGCAGCTCAGCATCTACAGCAACACATAATTCTACTATTTGTCTTTCTCTTACAGTGTTAGTTTGTGTATCATGTAGTTTAATTAATCAGCTATTAGATATTCCCCCATAGAGTTATAAAGGACCACCAGTAAGCCCTTCGCATGGGTCTGCAGCAAGATTTTAGAAGTATCTCAAAATATCTCAAAATTATTTTCTTTAAAAATGTCTGCAACTAGTGTTCACTGATTTTTAACAGGCTTTGATGTTTTAAAAGTATTTCTAGCTGTTGAACTACGGTTCAACATTAGCAAAAGCAATTTACTATGAAGCCTATGATGCTTTTCTTAGTCTTCGCTTCCACTGAAGTCAAACCTAACGACATCCTTTATACCGAAGACAAAAAGCCACCTGCCTGAAACAGGCCTACCTGCCAGTTCAATTTCAGCGTAAGAAAGGAAAAACACTTACCCTAGCTCTAACATATTTCTTGACAGCCAGTTTTGGGAAACAGAAGATTGAGAATGATTAAGAATTAACCAGCAGGAAAAAAGATGGGAAAAAAGCAATAAAGCAGAATAGATATTTCAAGACAAATTCTGCAACAAGAATAGAAAATTAGCACATGTACACACAGGAAAAAAAAAATCAAACTAAAGCCTGAAATCAAGCAAGATACAGAAAGCCACAGCAATGTTCATGACTGTTCAGCTCACAACTTGGCCCTCTTCAACTTCAGAGAACTTCTACGCTGGTTTAACAAGAGAGTTTAGTTTAATAGTGGAAGTAAACTAAAAAATCTCCTTCTCAGTTAAGGAAGAGAAAAATGAAAGCAGAAAGACTCCAAGGCTCTGTTCACATAGGAATGCATCCTCTAGTTTAATGGCCTATAAATGGTCCAGCAGGTTACAAAAGCACCATTTTATTCTAGAAATCACTTTATGAGAATTAAGTCCATCTCTAAATTTTTGAGGAAAATTCCCTATTTATGATCCAAATCTATCATTCATCCAACAAACCAACCAACCAACCACCCACCCACCTACCTAATTTGTATGTTGCCCAACTCCCAAATATGGAATAGAATTATAGAATCATAGAATTGGAAGGGACCTAAGAGGTCATCAAGTCCAACACCCTGCACGCTGCAGGATTCCCTACACCATCCCTGATAAATGACTATTCAGCCTCTGCTTGAAAACCTCCAATGAAGGAGAAGAAACCGCTCTGTGCGGTAACCTGTTCTACTGACTGACAGCTCTTACTGTCAAGAAGTTCTTCCTAATGTCTAACCTGTATCTACACCCTTGAAGTTTCTTCCTACTTGTGCTAATATTTCCCCCTGGAGCAAGTGAGAATAAATCAAAACCCACCACAAGATGACTGCCCTTCAGATACTGAAGACAGGTATGATGCCCCTCTCAACCTTCTCTTCTAAACACACCCAGGTCTTTTTACCAATCCTCGTAGGACTTGATTTCCAGTCCTCTCACCATTTTGGTAGCCCTTCTCTGGACTGGCTCCAGTTAATGTGATGCATTATAGCTTATTCCAATGACAACTTTAAATTTTTTACCATTGCTTGCTCCAACGGAACAACTCGCTGGTTATGTATCAGCCGAATTGTATTTGCGTGTCCTTTCAAAGCATTTTCTAATGCTCCTTTGGGCTGGAAATACAAGTAAACAGTTATATCCAGTGGATAGTTTTCAATATATAAGTTATTCTTTTTAAAGAGCAGAAAAGCAATAGTTCAACTTTTATAAAGTATCGGAAAAGGAAAATGCTCCCCAAATTAATGAGAGATATTCTTTCTTTCCCTATCTGTATGCTTCCACTTAGAATAATCTATTACCAAGAGAAATATATGCTTTCATGGGAGACAAACTCAACCATTTTTCCAAAAGACAAAAAAGTGCAGAGATATCTGCTATCGAGAAATTTAATTATAAATATGAAATATGAGATTGCAGGCCAGCAGCTGATTAACAACCGGGACAAAGTTTATAAATTGTCATGTTGCTGTCCAAGGTGAAAATCTATATTCTTCCCAAATGTATTCTAGATGGTCTTGGGGTCATAATAGAAGCAAAACAAGTTTTTTAATGTGAAGGTTTCTCTTTTCCCCTGAACAATTAGGTTCTGCAGGCCAGGCTTAGTAGTTCTGGGGGGGTCAGCATTACTCAAGAGTTTCAAAACAAGCTTTTGAAACTTTTTTGTAACTCCGAGCCCTGAGCCCCAGAATAACAGTTAGAGAGTGCTCTGTATTTTGGATGCTTTAAGGAAGCTTCAACAGACAGAAGTCACAACAGCATCACTCGTTCAGATCGTAGGAAGATTGTTGAAATATCAGACCACTTAGTCAGTGTTTCATGCCAATGAATCAAACTTACCAGCTGGTCTGCTCTTGCTTCCAAATCATTAGCAAATAATAACAGATCAACTTTGGTGATGCTCTTGTTAATCTAGAGAGAGAGAGAGAGAGAGAAAGGAAAATCACTGCAGCATTAGACATTGTAGGAGAGCATGGTTAGTCTGCAGTAGCAAAAAATCAGGAGGAGCCTGGTAGCAGAACAAAGACCAGCAAGATTTCACAGGGTCTTCAAAGAGCCCGTGTGCCTTTGCTCCCATCTGCTGATCATCTAGATTTTGGCAGCCTGACTGGTAGTGCTACATAAGCAACTGTCTCTTTTGTTTTCAAAATGCTGCAAAATGCCTTGTGTGTTGATGACACGGTATATAACAATTGCTTCTTATAGCTATCGGAGTAATGCAAAGCAAAAAATGCCTCCGTGTCAGGTATCTGGAATTAGAGGTTCAACCATTTCTCTCTCCCACCCCAGCCACCAGAAAAACAGTTTAGTCAGCACCTTACCTCTGACAGGTATGCTGCAAAGTTTATTTCATCTATTCCCGAAGAACCAAAATTCAACAGGTTCTCTTTCCCAGTGTTGTTCAGCAAAACTATACTGCTTAAATTTATGTTGATGTACTTGATTTTGAGGGATACATCTTCTGCATACTATGGGGGAAAAAAAGCAAAAGGAAACAATTCTCAAATGTTGATGCATCTCATTACTAGAAGTCATATTGGGAGTTTACATATCTCTCTTAGAAGTTGCTCATTTCTATCACATACAACAAATCAATCTACCCTCCACTGACATTGAACAGGATGCATTAGAAGAATCTGCAAAATGCCATTCATCCTAGCAAGGCGAGGGGACAATGTCTGTCCTTCCCAGAGGCGTCACCTGCAAATGAGCCTGAAGCTCATGGCTGTCCTCATTGTTTAACAGGGCTGGGCATTGCTGCAGAGCACACTCCAAAAAGGTGCTTCAGAGTGTACACAAACATCATGCAACTCTTTAAAAGAAGCTGCATCTTTCCCCAAAATTGCAAAGCTGCTCTCTAACTGTTTTTAAACAGGAGTGGTAGCATCTAGCCACCTTGGCTGATCTCAAAAAGTTAATCAGAGGCAGTCCTGATTAGGATTTGAACAAGGAACAACCAGGAAATCCCAGAGCCAGACTGGGAAATCAAAACAATACCTTAGAAGAAGGGAAGGGCAAACCTCTTTCTGGTTATTCCTCCCAAAACATTACCAAGGCATCTGTGAAGTCACCAGGAACTGAATTCAACTCAAAGGAGATTTCATCTTTACTAAATCTGCAAGACTAAACAACTGGGATCAGAATACCCCAAAGAACCCCCTTTCCCATGTCAATCTGCTTGGCTGCTGCAATAATTCCCTCCAGATTGGGCCACAACCTTGGGACCCAGACAGCCTTTTCTGTTCTGGTGCCCATCCTGTGAAAACCTGCTCTCTTCTCTGCCCCTAAACTATTGGCATGTGCTAATTCTGGCACGTGGAAGAAGCACTTTTAATTCAGCCTGGCACACCGGCATCTTAGGATGGCACAGCAAGACTGTGTATGGACACTAATTGCTTCTGTTCTATTATTTCATTTGATCTATCTGATTACATTTTCTATTGTATGCATTTTTAATGTTTGGCACTGCCCGGAGAAACTTGGCATCAGAAGTGCTTTGTAAATATTGTAATTCAAATCCCATAACAATAAATGAAAACACATGGTTCATATGTCAGAGGAAAAAGCCTAAGGCAAAACTGAGCTGAAGGAGGACCCAAAACACTTAGTCTGCTTAAACACAGACGAGCTGCCAGGGAGAGAATGAAAAACAGAAACTGAAGGACAAATGAATTGGAATGAAGTGTCCTAGAGGTGGCTGGTAGTTCCGTTCTGCAACAATTGTAACATTCAATTTTTACAAATTGTTGTAACGGCCAGGGGTTCAGTTACTACTATCCACAAATAGCCATTCTTGTAAGTCGTATTTTCTAGCAAAATCCAAAATAAAACAAATTGCAAAAGATTGCATACTAAAGTACTAAGACATTCACATAATTGTTAAACTTACCACACTAATGTTTAGGATTTCATGGATATTGAAGAGGTTTTCTAAATGGAGTGTGGTGTAAATGCCCTTATTTTCCTTGCAGTCACTAAAAAGATACATGGAAAAAGGATAAATCAACAGTTTGTTTCCAATTTTAGATCCCAACATTTTCCATTAGAAACCCATTTGACTGAACCATTTGGACACAAAACCAGCCTGAATCCAAAGAACTAGAAAGATTATTCATTTATTTAATTATTTCATTGAATTTGTCGTGGCTGCCCACTCCAGTAGATTGGGCGGCTTACAAAATCCACACATTTCCCAACCAAATACTTCCTTCCTCCCGTCACAAGCACATTTGGAGCTGAGTTATTTGGACAACTTGTATGAAGCTCTGCTATTCAAAAGCCAAACATTAGAAATTTCATCCAATGTACCTAAAGATTTGGAAGTTTCAAATAACTCTTTGGAAACAAATTAATAAACACAGCTATTTTCTTCAAGATATTTATGTATGAGATATTTCTGTGTAGCTGTAGAATTAGAGCTTCTCTCCCAAAGATTCAGCAAACTTATGGAATCCTTGACAATTTTTGGTCATACGTATGAAAAAATAGAAATAATAACTGATATCCAAGCCATTACTTAGCACCTGCTTTAAAGCAAGAATAATCTGACCATTCTTCTGTCGTTAAGACAAGACAGCTTAAGGCAGCAACATCCAACTTAAATAAATGTCATTGCATCATTTGAACCTAAATTTGATGGGGCAATGTCCAAATTAAAAAGCAAGTCATTAATGAAATCTTAAGGTTCAGCAGTAAATGTGAATCTCAGAAATGGCAGATGGATGATGCCAGGTACATTTTGTTGTTGTTGTTTTGGAGACTGAATTCAAGTCCACAAGAGTTTACAATTCAGTTTAAGCTTGATTTGGTCTAAGTAACTATATATACATATAGAGATGAAGTGTCATTTAACCTCAATGAACAGCTAAATGTTTATGAAGATGGAGAAAGTATCAGATACTTTCAACCGAAGAAATGCAACCCCTGAAGAAATGAGTATTATGGGGGGGGTCATCACACTGCTTAGCAAGACGTTTCCTCAGGCTCTTATGTTATACCTTGGTGTTTGGAAACGGCTCCGGTATTTCCTTTCCGCTCACCTGTCAACTTCTTCAAACTCACAATAACAACTGATTATCTCAGTTGATTGATTCTAGCACTGCAAAGTTGTTCCTTCTTAGAACTGCAGAATAACTGTAGGAGATCCCTGTATCCTCTCTGCAAACCAGAAAATTCCTGGTGCATGTGTGTGTGTGAGAGAGGGAGAGGGAGAGGGAGAGGGAGAGGGATTGCTCTGAAACTAGCTGCGGGAGTAAGGTCAATCACCCTTGTGGCTCAGATGCTGAAGCAAGAGGTCCTACTGCTATAGAGATGGGCAAAAGGGAAGAAGGGCCCCTCCACCTACCACACTCAGGAAGAAGGTTTGGAGGGAGGGAGGAGACAATGCAGAAAGTGCAGGAAGTAAAGTGGGAGCCAAAGTTTCTCAGAACAGAAATAGCAACCACAAACAGTTGCCCAGGGCTGAGAAGCATAAGGCAAAAAGTCCATTAAGCAAATGGGAAAGCTGGAGAAAAAAGTCCCAGAATTAAAGTATAGTACATATCCAAAAGAAACTCCACTTTCTTGCTGACAGAGGCTGATCAACAGTGTTAGTGGCTTCTTCCTAGTATGCAATAAAGATTCTCATCTATCATCTGCTGGGCTGTAGGCCCTTCAGGGAGGGCAAACCTAGAACCTGGTCAAGCCACACTGATTTGACGATCTGGGAAATTCTGCCAAGGCTTGCCAACGATTTCAACAAAGGCACAATGAACAATGACACAGCAGTCCCCAAAAGCTCCATGAATTTTGCACTCTGCATAATTATGCACATACGTAAATGTGTAAAACTATAAAGTGCTACTTTATGGGCTACAAGAAAACAAAATTTGAAACAAACAGGTGTTCCCCTTCAACTGGATTGTACTGGCCCTCAGTTTTCAGATGATTGAAACTATACGTGCAACTTAAATATGTAATGGGAGCAGGAAACAGTAAAAAGTTACCTGTAAACCTTTTCAAATGTCAAGTCAATATCTGGATTTTTCAGAATGATGCCAGATAGATAGTGTTTCCACTGGCGATTAAGCAAGAAGGGTGTGTCCAAAATCTAAAATTCAATTTAAAGAAGATGCACTCATAAATCTACTTTGGCTTCAACAAACAATACTCAGAAATGTGTCTTATTTATTATAAATGTTTTGGAAGTAATACAGAGCTAAGCTGTGTAATACCCATTTCCTAAACTTAATGGTTTCATTACACTGATTGACCTAAAAGTGATAAACTTTAGATTATCTCAGAGGCCATAATAGTCACCAAACTTTATTGAAGCACAAAGTAGGAACTTAGTTTACATCAAGCCACGTTATTTAAGCAGAAGTAATATCTTGGAATGACTGAAAAATTAAATGAGGAATCCAATTCAGATCCAATTTCTGCCATGAACCAACTTCCTTCTTTCAAATTTGCTTCCTTATTTGTAATATGTGGCTAATACTTACTATCACCATCTACTTTACGGGACTGCTTTAAAGGTAACACAGTAATTTTATCTATCTATCTATCTGCAAAAAAGTATTTAGTCAGCCACCAATTGTGCAAGTTCTCCCACTTAAAAAGATGAGAGAGGCCTGTAATTTTCATCATAGGTAGTGGGGCAAAAAAGTATTTAGTCAGCCACCAATTGTGCAAGTTCTCCCACTTAAAAAGATGAGAGAGGCCTGTAATTTTCATCATAGGTAGTGGGGCAAAAAAGTATTTAGTCAGCCACCAATTGTGCAAGTTCTCCCACTTAAAAAGATGAGAGAGGCCTGTAATTTTCATCATAGGTAGTGTTTGGGATCATTGTCATGCTGAAAGACCCAGCCACATTTCATCTTCAATGCCCTTGCTGATGGAAGGAGATGTTCACTCAAAATCTCATGATACATGGCCCCATTAATTCTTTCCTTTACATGGATCAGTT